AGCTGCCCTCAGGAGCTCTGATAGACGAGGCCAAACACCTGGGCAACCTGACCTTCAACATCTGGAACAAGATGAAGGACATGGTCTCCTACAGTCCTGTGATTCTGGATCCAAACACTGCTCATCCATATCTCATCCTGTCTGAAGATCTGACCAGTGTGAGAGTAGGAGAGGAACAGCAGCTTCCTGATAATCCAGAGAGGTTTGATCAGTACTGCTCTGTTCTGGGCTCTGAGGGCTTTAACTCAGGGACTCACAGCTGGGATGTCGAGGTTGGAGACAGTACATACTGGATACTGGGTGTGTTAGCAGAGTCTGTCCAGAGGAAGGGAGGCAAACTGTCTGAATTATGGATAATAGGGTTCTATGAAGGTAAATACTCAGCATGGTCACCACCAGCTACATACACTGGTCTTGTAGTTCAGAAGAAGGTCCAGAGGATCAGAGTGAATCTGGACTGGAACAAAGGAAAGCTGTCGTTCTCTGATCCTGATACTAACACACACATACACACCTTCAAACACACTTTCACTGAGAGGATGTTTCCATACATTGACACTATGGATGAAGTCCCACTGAAGATATTACCAGTGAAGGTCAGTGTGACAGTGGAACAGAGCAGTTAGAGATAAAGAGGATGATTATATTCATGATGTTTATTTCTTAAAGAGAAAAGTCTCTGAATTGATCCTGTTAAACTGAAACCTGCTCCTCATTATTCCAACACTGCAGGAACAGACACATATTATTAAATATAATCAAATGTTCAGGTATTGAGGAAATAATTAGCCAATTGAGCTGAATTCAAGAATTTGTGCCCTAATTAGCAAAACAAATCTTACAATAAGACACAATTCCTTCATAATAAAAATAGTGACTTTGTCTTAAATGAAGGAACCAGAAACATTCTTATTTCAATCATTTTTTATTAAAACAATGAAAAACTAAACAGCTGCTTCATTTCCAACACTGGGACAACAATAAAAACCTAATTCTATTTTCTCTTGTTTATATCTTGTATTTTTCTGTTTTATTTTGTTATTTAATTGTATTTCTTTTTTCTCATCTGATATTTTCTATCTGGTTTTATTATTCTGATTGTTTTTATTTTCTTTTTGTTGTTATTTAGTTTGAAATCAGCTTTTTGTTTCTATTGTCGACTTTTTTCAGATGTAAAATTGTTTCATTTAGTTTCTGATCTTTGTGTTTGGTTTTCTTTTAATCAATACTGTGTCATTTTAAATTCATTTTTCATTATTTTAACTTAAAGACCAGCGACCAGTTTGTGGAAGGTCCGTGGTCCGTGTATGTTTTGGTCATTGGATTTTCCTTTCAGAAACGGGTATTAAAAAACAGAAAACGAGTGGTTATTTGATTTTCGTTTTGAAATACAAAAATTAAAATTGAAATACAAGGCGTTTTTCTTTTTCATGGTCAGAAAGGGATGAACGAAATTTTAAAAAAATTTCGATTTTCATTTTCTATTTCATATAACAAAAAATAAAATCACTAGAAAACAGAAACGGAAAAAAGTCCTGTTTTTTCATATTCTGAGACCGGATGTTGTCATTTACAGGACGGTGCTGTGTAGAAGAAACAGTAGGCTAGTAGACTGCGGTCAATCCAGCCATGAGTCCGATCTCTGTGGTCAAATCAGCCGCACTTAAATTTAGAGTGTACAAGTATTCTCAGCATTATGGTAAATGCGGAGAAACAGCGTATTTACTTCCGGTTTTCAAAATAAAGGTATTTAGAGCCTTAAGCTATAATTAAAATATGTTACATTAAAGTGTTTCATGCGCCCCTGATGAATAAAAAACACTTTATATCAAGTATCTTTACTGCACCAGTGTGGAGAAATGCCAAAATAAAAGCCTCATATTTATGCCTCCAGAGATTGCATATTTGACTGTATTTGAGGTACTGTAAAAACATATTGCTCAGTGTTTCCTGGCTACTGATGGTATATTTGACTTTTACACATATGAGACTACAAACATACTTAATATCAAGCATTTTTACTGTACCAATTTGGAGAAGTTCAACAATAAAAGTCCATATTTGTACCTCCAAGTGGTATTTTTTATATATTTGAGCTACTGTAAAAACACTTTGCTCAATAATTCCTGGCTATGGATGGTATATTTGACTTCTACACATCTAAGACTACAAGTATACTTAATATCAAGCATTTTTACTGTACCAATGTGGAGAAATTTAAGAATAAAAGTCCCATATTTATACTTCCAGATTCCATATTTTCTTATATTTTTGAGCTACTGTAAAAACATATTGCTCAATATCTCCAGGCTATGGGTGAAGCATTTTCATTATACTTCAATAATGCTGCAGTAATCATGACAAAATTTCACACAAATGTTTAATAACATCTTGATAATATAAACACTAAACACTAAACACAAAATCCTACACAATTCTAATTTGTTTACTTTTCACACAAAATGCAATGCCAGTCCACATTCTTCTTATTTTGCTGCTCTGCTGTGTCCATTTGTAGGTAAAAGGGAAAAATAATTAGTTTTAACTTCAAAACACCATTGTACCTACTGTCTCTTCCTCACATATTATTTTTTATATTATTCAGTGTGACAGCTGTTGCAGGTGGTTCCACATACAGTTTACATTTTTACAGTAGCTCAAATATAAGAAAATATGGAATCTGGAGGTATAAATATGGGACTTTTATTCTTAAATTTCTCCACATTGGTACAGTAAAAATGCTTGATATTAAGTATACTTGTAGTCTTAGATGTGTAGAAGTCAAATATACCATCCATAGCCAGGAATTATTGAGCAAAGTGTTTTTACAGTAGCTCAAATATATGAAAATACCACTTGGAGGTACAAATATGGACTTTTATTGTTGAATTTCTCCAAATTGGTACAGTAAAAATGCTTGATATTAAGTATGTTTGTAGTCTCATATGTGTAAAAGTCAAATATACCATCAGTAGCCAGGAAACACTGAGCAATATGTTTTTACAGTACCTCAAATATGGTCAAATATGCAATCTCTGGAGGCATCAATATGAGACTTTTATTTTGGCATTTCTCCACACTGGTGCAGTAAAGATACTTGATATAAAGTGTTTTTTTATTCATCAGGGGCGCATGAAACACTTTAATGTAACATATTTTAATTATAGCTTACGGCTCTAAATACCTTTATTTTAAAAACCGGAAGTAAATACGCTGTTTCTCCGCATTTACCATAATGCTGAGAATACTTGTACACTCTAAAACAAACCGTTTTGGTATGACCAAAACATACACGGACTCACGGACGGTCCGTGTAATGTTTTGGTCAATTGAAGCCTTTTTTCTTTTCAGAAACGGATTATATTATTTTTATACAAAAACAGAAAACGAGTGGTTATTTGATTTTCGTTTTTAAAATACAAAAATTAAAATTGAAATACAAGGCGTTTTCTTTTTCATGGTCAAAAAAGGATGAACGAAATTTTAAAAATGATTTGATTTTCATTTTCTATTTCATATAACAAAAAATAAAATCACTAGAAAACAGAAACAGAAAAAAGGCCTGTTTTTTCATATTCTGAGACTGGATGTTGTCATTTACAGGACGGTGCTGTGTAGAAGAAACAGTAGGCTAGTAGACTGCGGTCAATCCAGCCGTGAGTCCGATCTCCGTGGTCAAATCAGCCGCACTTAAATTTAGAGTGTACAAGTATTCTCAGCATTATGGTAAATGCAGAGAAACAGCGTATTTACTTCCGGTTTTTAAAATAAAGGTATTTAGAGCCGTAAGCTATAATTAAAATATGTTACATTAAAGTGTTTCATGCGCCCCTGATGAATAAAAAAACACTTTATATCAAGTATCTTTACTGCACCAGTGTGGAGAAATGACAAAATAAAAGCCTCATATTTATGCCTCCAGAGATTGCATATTTGACTGTATTTGAGGTACTGTAAAAACATATTGCTCAGTGTTTCCTGGCTACTGATGGTATATTTGACTTCTACACATATGAGACTACAAGCATACTTAATATCAAGTATTTTTATTGTACCAATTTGGAGAAATTCAATAATAAAAGTCCATATTTATTCATTCAACTTTACAGACTTTATATCAAAGATTTTTATTTGTGATTGAATTTCACTTGTTCGTCCAAACCGAGGAGTCGATATGGAAGAACCAAACAAACAAGAAATGTGCCGATCTGAGCTAAGGATATACTGCCGACCCTGACCCGAGAAATGCTGCATATGAATGTAACTTCATTGGTACAATTAACTTTTAAACAATATATATGCTCCCTTTAGGCAACATTATTAGGAATCACTCCATTAACTTTCACTGTTATGCAGATGATACGCAGTTATATCTATCAATCAAACCCAATGAAATTAATCAATTATCTAAATTACAAACATGTCTTAAGGACATAACATCCTGGATGACCTGCAATTTTCTGATGTTAAACTCAGAAAAAAACGAAATTCTTGTTCTTGGCCCCAAAAACCTTAGAGACTCATTGTCTAAAGATATAGTCACTCTAGATGGCATTAACTTGGCCTCTAACACCACTGTCAGGAATCTTGGAGTTATCTTTGATCAGGATTTGTCATTTAACTCCCACATAAAGCAGACCTCTAGGACTGCCTTCTTTCATTTACGTAATATTAGAAAAATTAGACACATACTATCACAGACAGATGCAGAAAAACTAATCCATGCATTTGTTACTTCAAGGCTGGATTACTGCAACTCTTTATTATCAGGCTGCCCCAATAAGTCCATTAAAACGCTCCAATTAATTCAGAACGCTGCAGCACGAGTACTGACAGGAACTAGAAAAAGAGATCACATCTCTCCTGTACTAGCTACTCTGCATTGGCTCCCTGTAAAATGTAGAATAGAATTTAAAATCCTCCTCCTCACCTATAAAGCTCTTCATGGTCAGGCCCCTTCATATCTTAAAGAGCTCATAGTACCCTATTACCCCTCTAGAACATTACGTTCTCTGAATGCTGGGCTACTTGTGGTTCCTATAGTCTCTAAAAGTAGAACAGGAGCCAGAGCCTTCAGTTACCAAGCTCCTCTCCTGTGGAACCAGCTTCCAGTTGTGGTTCGGGAGGCAGACACCCTCACCACATTCAAGAGTAGGCTTAAGACATTCCTCTTTGATAAAGCTTATAGTTAGGGCTGGATCAGGTGAGTCCTGAACCATCCCTTAGTTATGCTGCTATAGGCCTAGACTATCGGGGGATTTCCCATGGTGCACTGAGCTACTCTCTTCCTCTCTCTTTCTGCACTCATTCATGTCCCTTTAATGCATGTTACTAACTTCACTTCTTCCCCGGAGTTCTTGTGCTTTCTCGTCTCGCAGATTCTCATGGATCCTGGTGGAGCCTCCTGCCATGGTCCTGCTTGACTGCCATTGCCAATACTGTTGTTGCTGTGCACCTGTCTGTCTGTCTGTCTGTCTCTCGCTCTCTCTCTCTCTCTCTCACCCCAACTGGTCGGGACAGACGACCACCCACCTAGAGCCGGAGGATCTGTCCTAGGTTTCTGCCTTTTAACAGGCAGTTTTTCCTTGCCCTTGTCGCCAAGTGCTTGCTCATGGTGGTACTGTTGGGTCTCTGTAATTAATGTTAAAGAGTTCGGTCTAGACCTGCTCTATTTGAAAAAGTGTCCTGAGATAACTTCTGTTATGAATTGGCGCTATACAAATAAAATTGAATTGAAAATTGAATTGAATAATATAGTTTAGTTTTCATGACTTTATTATATTCCTACTGGTTGTTACCTCCCCTGAATCCAACATCACCTGTTACCTGAGAAGTTAAAGTACTCAGTAGAAATAAATATGGGTTTTAAAGAACAATGGAGTGATGCCATCCTATAGAAATATTCAGTAAAAGTACTGAATTATCATCTAATGTCCTTGAAATATAGGATTATACATAATATGTGATTATTACTGGTGCAATAACAAGATGTTATCATTGTCTATCCGGTTGAGTTTAACACTTCAAAGGAAATAACTACAGCTGTCAAATGAATGTAGTGGACTAAAAAGTAAATTGCAAAGTACTTTAAAGTTAGGTGTGGGTGGATCAACCTAAAGTACTGACGCTATCATATATGTATATATTATTATTGTTTAGAGTGTTAGAAATAAATAGGATGATGCCAACGGTAGATTGCCTTTTTAAATATTGACTTATTAATTCATCTTGTTTTACTCACATATTTCTTCTACAATCACAAACACTCCACCTCCAGTCTGAGTCAATATAATTCACAAAACATTAAATAAAATGAGTCACAATTATTAATTTTAGTTTTAAGTTTATTTATCTAGCACATTTAATAGGACAGGCGTTGACTGTAATTTAAAATAAGCACCAAAAAACCAGCAGAAGAACATATCAGATACAAATGTTTATATATATTTATATATATATATATATATATATAAACATTTATATAAACATTTATATAAAGATAAGATGATGTGGTATAGAGGGAATTATACGTTTTTATAGTGGAGACAAACTGTACAAAGTTCATATCTGAATGAAGGTCAAACATTACAAGAGGGACTTTAAAGGGCCGTCCACAGCAGGAACAAGAACTACTGTAACAGTGTGTAAACAGTGGCCTCAACCTGCAGCTGCTTAACACAAAAAAGGTCGTCTGTCAGTATGTTTCAGATAAAATAGTTTTTTGTGTAATTTGCAATCAGATGGGAATGATCCCAACGATATTGTTCACCGCTGTCGTATTTATAGTTACTGTTATAGTTAATGCTCTGGTTGTTGACGGCTCTTTGAGGGAACAGATTTCTGTAGCAGGGTACTTAGGATACTTATTACTTACGATACTGCGTGTCGTATTCTACAGGTTGTTGTGCATTAATATCGTTCATTATAATAGTTCCAAAGATCTTGAACAGAACCAGTTCAGGAACCAGACCTCATTTGGTTGAAGAACTAAAAGACGAGGGACCACAAGGAGTCCAGAGTTTTGTGCTGCGCCCCCTGACTGAGTTTATAAACTGGTTGTACCACAGTTAATGTGTTGTGTTCACTCTGTGATCAGCTTGCTACCCACATACTGTACTGCACCAACAGCTGCACCAACCACACCCCCAATTATGCCACCCACCACTACAGATTCCACTGGTTGTGATTTTAAGTTAGCGACAAAACATAGTGCACCAAAAGTGTACGCTCCATTGAAAGCACCTTGAAGGCAGGAATCAATCAATGCAGGTTTTTCTGCTTCGTCTGTTGCTGGTGTTTCTAGATTTTCTTTCCAGAGGACTCCCTCAGCATCTCGGTCCATTTTATTGTAGCTTTCTCCATTTCTCCGCACTATGCTGTTGATCTTCTGCAGCAGCTCAACAACTTGAGAGGGATCTCCGTCTATGTTCTCAAAAACATGGTATCCCCCCCGACATTCCCTGACGAAGTCACGCAGAGCTGGGTTTGCTCCGATGAAGTCCTCTATGGAACCTCCTTGTTCCTTCAGATCATCTCCTCGAGTGAACAAGGCCATGGTGTGATGTGCTGCCTCTCTGCTGAAGGTCTTCTGTAATAATTTCACTGTTTTCCGTTCGTCCTCCGTCAGTTCGCCCAACTCGAGCACAACCAGGAACACAACGGGGCCATCTAAAGCCGACAGCACGGTCCTCTTGATCTCCTCCATCACCTTGATGTCAGATTCTGTTCCTCCAAACAGACCAGGAGTATCAACAACAGCCAGCTTCTGTCCATCCAACTCTCCTTTTTCCTTCTTGCAGGCCTGTGTCACCGAGGATGGCTGTATCGGAGTCTGAAAAGCCGTTTTCATCAGGATGGTGTTTCCTGTCGAACTCTTACCGACTCCAGTCTTCCCAACTATCACAATCTGGAGCTCTTGGTCTTTGCACTGCTGATATTCGGTTGAAATATAGTAATGAGGCCGTTATTACTTCTCTTTACACTGAAACACGAATAATTTGAGGGAAAATGCTAAAAAAGAAAAAAAAATGTATCCCTAATCCCCTTACTGTCCCTATTATTATGTGTATTACATTAATATAATAATATATATTCAAATCTTACTGTCCATACCTATCTCCCTGATTTCCTGCCAGTCAAAACATTATTTATCTTATACAGTAAACTGTCAGTGTGGACCTGGTAAAGTCAAAGCTGTGAAAACGTGTCATGTCAAATCTAATGTAATGATAATTATTGCATTAATAAAAGTAAGGAAGTAGTATTATCTGTGTGTTTTTGATTTCCAGAAGGGGGAACAGACCGTAACCTCATGCTATTTGAGCGTCTTGGCATGGAAAGGTTGTGGAACCCCGGTTTTAGATTAATTAACAGCCATTATACACAAACATTTGGCGTCCAACGTACAAGAGACAGAAAGTACCACGCCTGTCAGAGACTAGCTGGATTAGATTCCTCTCTGAGGAGAGTCCATTAAGACAGATCACTAATTTCTGTCATGTATATTTAAACACCTTAGTTGAAAATGTTGATTAAGTTTAGCATTTTTTAGCAAATAGCATTCAAAAATACATAAAAACACAGTTGAAGCTGTACAATAAATAATGATACTATGAATGAAAGTGTAACACTGATCAGCTCGGCATTGAAAATCAATACATTCTCCACTCAGGTATTTTTCCATTAAAAGTTGATTTATCTCGTAGCCACATTTCGAGTATTATTGTAAATATACTTACGAGGATGAAGAAGTTTGCTGGCCATGTTTGTCTCGTGCTGCCACTGTTGACGTTCAGGTGTTGTAGTTTCATTTTCATGACATTATTATATAAATATTGATTGTTCCCTCCTTTCATTCACATGTAGCAGCCAATCAGATTGTAAGGTAGAGTCAAGATACATTAAATAGGATGAAGATTAGTAAAAAAAAGCCAAAAAGGTGAGTTTTTAAGAACAGTTCAACGATATTCTGTTGTGTGGTTTAATTTATTAACATCATATTTTATACACTGATTGATTACATGTTTTGTAAGTAAGAATGTAAAATAAAACATTTAAAGAATAAGTGTTACAAAAATGCATTAATATGTTTAATTTAGAATTTTTTTTATTTATTCTATTTTATTTTATTAGTTATTTTGCATTTAACCTCCTGTTGTTGTTGTTATTATTGTTATTGTTATCATTATCAGTCTGTGGATACTGCTGGAAACTGTGAATTTCCCCTTAGGGATGAATAAAGTATCTGTCTGTCTGTCTGTCTGTCTGTCTGCCTGTCTCTCAATCTCTCTATCTGTCTATCTATCTCTCTCTCTATCTATCTCTCTATCATCTATATATCTATCTCTCCACCCGATCTGACTGTTATCATACCATTGAATAAGCGTTATCCTGATACAATCATCCCACAGATAGGGGCCAGTAGGGGCCTACTCTACCTACTAGTAGGTGCAGGAGGCAGTTATCACCAATTCATCTGGCTGATCCAATACTATTCAAACCCAGCAGGTACAGAAGGTGTGTTATCGAGCAGAGCAGTCACGTGACTGTCAGATTTCTGTCTGCATTTTCTTTAATTTCAGTGGAAAAACAACATTTTAAGATATTTTTGGCATTAGAGTTCGTTGTGATAACCGTGACACTGTCAAGTTAGCAACAACACAACAACACGTTTACCCACATCCGGGTGGACTGAATTAGCAAAATAAATATGCACTTTCAAAATAAAGCCAGAAGAGAATATTTTAGGAGCAAGAGTAACGTTAATACTAAAGACACTAGTGGTTTCTATTTCATAAATACACATCCTGTAGAAGCGTTATTAGGATAAAGGAAAGTTAAACGTTAGGTTAGTTGAGTTAGTTGCTCAATTACTGTATACATAAATGCATATTTTATTAATCAAATTCTTAAACATCAGCTTTTATTTTTGATTTCTCTGCCGTTGCGTGTCGACGTCATCTTCTCCGATGCGACGCGCACGTTGGATACGGGAACCCTTTAACTTGGATCCAGACATGGTTAGTATTTTATATTCTAGATATTTAAAATGGTTTCAGTCCTGAATGTCAGGGATAACGTGCATCACTGTCAATGGACTACAGTACCATCAGTTGCCCATAAATATGTGAAGTACACCAAAATGTTATTTATCAAAGTTTTAAGCTAAATACCACCAGGTCAGATCAATGTGTCATCTCTGATAGATCTCAAATCCTGAAAAATAAAGAAATAATTTTTGCTGTAAGCATGATTTGGCTAACATGAGTTACATTTTTTATGTAGGTGGTCTTGGAGCCTCTTTTCCAAAAGAAGACCCACGCCCCACCCAAAAAATGAAATAGTAAAACTGTACTGTATCGTATAAATGTAGATTGCATACAGGTATCTTTAAAGCAAATGTAAGTGTTAGACAAATATATGCTGCTGCATGCTAAGTATGCTGGCCAAGGAGAGTATGGCAACAAATGGCTGGTTGTAAATGTAAATATTACCTTGTAGGACGGTATGATCTCAACATGCCGGAGCTGACCTGCGAGGGATGCCAGGCAACTTGGACTGCAGGACTTGATGACCTAATAAAAACTGGATACTGGCCTGCCACCCTTCATTTTGTAACAATTTATGAGACAGACCTGTTTTATACATTTGAAGACATGAAGATGGCATCACCCGGGATGTCTTTTCAGGCATATCTAAGAATGCTTGAGAAGCGGACTGCTCGCTTTGGCCGTGTAAGTATTTCTCTATATGTTTGTGTTTTGAAATGGAAAGGTCTTTGTTTAAAAAATTGTTTTGTGCTTTTTCTTTTTTACATAGACTGGGAAGATCTCATCAGACAGCTTCCAAAAAAGCTTTTTTTGAATGGGCTGCTGTACAATATGAGGTTGACTCCACCTGCAAGGAGGAGAAATTCATCTGTCCTGCCTGTACCCCAGCAATGCTTTCTGTCTCAGTGGATGGAAACCGCAAGCGTTACCGCTTCAAAAGTACTGCAAGGTATACAATAATGTACAGATAGATAGTTATGTTTTATACAACAAATAACCTTTCGATGTATGACATGTTAAAAAGATAGTTAAGGTGTTCTGAAGTGGGGTTGTATGAGGTACTTATCCATGGTCAGTCTGTTACCTACAGCAGACAATGGTCACCGCCACCCATCCCCTGCCTCTATTGTGGAGAAGCAGAAAAATGTGTTTTAGCCACATATAAAAGGCCCGCCTGAAAAAAACCCAATATCCAGGATTGTAGTTGGGGTTAGATGTAGAAATATGCAGTTGAGACAATTTAGTGCCAAGGAAAAGGGCTGTCTGAACACTGTGTACTGTAGGTAACACACTTACTATGGATAAGTACCTTATACCATCCCACTTCAGAGTACTCAACTATCCTTTTAAACATTGAAGCCTTTTTATTTCTTGTTGTTTTTTTAGATCTCAGGTGCGGGCCATCTTTGACGGTGTCTTCATTGCAAAAGATGACGATGTGACCAGATTTGTGGATCACATCCACAGCAAAAAAAAACATGTAATAGCAGACTTCAATTTATATCTCAATATAACATTATAATTCATAGTCTGTCAGTACTCCCATGTATTGTGATATCTACCTGTATACCTAATTGTTCTTAATCTGCTAACACTTATCTGTTCCTTGTCCCCTAAGAGAAATGTATAATTGTTCCCTGTAATGACTGTTGATGGGATTATTTGTCAATTATGATTTTCTACAATGTAGGTCACTGGAAGGAACAATTGTGGTGGGGAGTGGTCAGCTGCCAGAGAGACCTCCCAAAGATCAATCAGTAAGGTGGATGAGGAGGGACTGGAGCTGGCAGTGTGCAGGCATGATGTCTTGCTGGCTGCCCTTAATATGTTTGTACATGCTAAAGCGCATGACTTCAAATGTGAGGTTAGTATAATACAGTACATTTTTATCAAATGACTTGCAATCCTATAAATGATGCATATAAATGTGTAATGTTTAACTATCACTTAACAGATTATTTAACATTTGTATTGTTATGGTTGTTGATGTGAACAGCCCTTAATTGACACATCTACTTTTGTTAAGGATATTATTTTGCACCTGTCTGTGTATGTTTGTTGGTAAGCAAGATTACTCATGAGGTTTACCACTAATGTACACACAACTTGGTGGAAGGGTGACAGTTTGATTTTTGATTAGGTTTTAGTTGAAATAAAAGTGACTGTTGGGCATTGCTTGAGGTCTCTGCTGTACTAAATTCCCTTGATGTTTCTGTTTGGGTCCCTCTCTCCAGGTCAAATGGAGTAGCAAACCAAGAAGGTGCTGGTAAAACACTAGGGGAGGAAGTAGAGCAATGTAATGCTTTCCTCTCCAGGATATCAGTCACCACAAAGCATATGTCAAAAGCAGGTGCTATATAATTGTACCTCTGTATACAGAATAAAAGACATTTATATTATTACAAGTGAATCTTTACAGAACTCATCTCTGTGTACTTGCAGGATGCAATGACATGCTGACACTCCTGGCCATAAGATGGAACCAGCAGAAATGTCCAAACCTGGCTCCTGCACTTTCCCAGAGATACCATAAGGTAAATAGGAACAATATTATTTTGCTGCAATGGCACAGTGTAGGTCAATGAAACACACATACAGTTTTTTGCACATAGGCTTGTGATACATGATAGTTACAACATTTTTGCCTGATTTGAGTTGCATTTGTACACTGTACACGTTGTACTGACTTTTAGCTTATGGTAATAATTTTGTCATTTTAGACATCTAAAGCTTTCAATATCCCGATTGGGGACCTGGAAACCCTGAAAGCCCAGCATCAACTGGGTGAACATACTGTGGAAGAATTTGTGCAAGAAGTAAAAGAATGGGCAGATGGTAAGAACGTGAAACATTATCTGACATGGAGAAACATTTGTGTCGTTTGTGAAGTTGACGCTACCTGCAATCAATTTTGTCAGGAGAAATTGACCATCAAGGCACACCACAAGCTTTGTGTAAGAAGATTGAGGCCTTCACAACCAGCATCAACACGAGAGCTCAACTCCTATATCGGAAAAATGGTATGTTAGCATTTAAGGCCTTTTCAGATCACAGTCTGAAATGTCTCCAAACTCACTTCATAATTACAATGTCCATACAGTTCTAAAAAGTAATGTTTCATGTGTTGGACTTCTCCAAAACAAATTGATTTGCGTTCAGTTATTATAAGTACATCTATTATGATGATCCATCTGTTTGGCAAATGTATTGTCATTCTGTTGTTACAGCTGTAATTTAAACAAGATCATGGACTTAGTGTATTTAAAAGATATAATGTGGGTTTATTGTTTTTCTTTGTTTTTCAGACCGCAACAAAGGCCGACATAGAATTCGCAGAAAAATAAGGCAACAGAAGACCACTTTAAAGGCCATGGTAGCGGAGTACAACAGTCTCATTGCATGGATAGCGTTCTGGACACAGAACATCCCTGGCCTTGGCAAATTACACAGAGTGGTATGCATTTGATGTACTGTGCGTATTCTTTAGTGGTGGAAGAAGTATCATATCCTTTACTTAAAAGCATAAAGTGTATTTACAAAGTAAAAAATACTGATACTACACTGTAAAATTACTCAGATCACAAGTAAAATATTCAGTATAATCAGTTCAGTATCCTTAAAGCACTAAAAGTTGAAGTTGTCCAAGAATTGTAGTGAAGTAAAAAGTCAAATACTTTCTTCTGAGATGTAGTGCAGTAGAAGAAGAAAGTAGCATAAAAAGAAAAGTGCCAGTACCTCAAATTTATACTAAAGCACAGTACTTTAGGGAATACACATTTCATCATTAGTATTCTTACATTTAGGTGTTCCAGTGGACATATTTGCATTCTGACCAAGTGTGCATATGTATGACAGAAATGATCTCTGAAGCTACATGCTATATGCAGTGGTCTGAACTTTTCATATTGATGTATTACAGGCTCTGCTGATTTCAGCACAAAGAAAGAAGTCTTCGATAGGGTCATGGGTGTTCAAAGGCTTCAAGAGGAGAAGAAGATCCTTGTGAAAGAAATGAAGCAGCACTGGGAGTCTCTCAAAGCCCATGCCAGGGTCTTGTCCGAGTTGTCTCAGCATCAGAGTGAAGACGCCATGCAAAGTAAATGCGGCCTTGTACTTAATTTTTTTAATTTCGAATGTTTCACAAAGTTATGTTTAAGTTGTGAAAGACGTGTTATTTACCTGGATAGTGACATATTTTATCCCTTCTTAAGGACATCTCACAGAGAAAGCAACAAAGGGTCACACCTGCCTCATCCTTCCAGTGGGAAATGAGAGAGCTGCAGCGGCATACAAGAAAACACTACCTGCATGTGCTGTCATCAGCAGATGACATAATGGACACAATGGACAGTTCAGATGAGTTTGACATTAGCTGTGAAGATTCAGAGTCAGATGCAATGTAAAACAGGAAGATGTGGTGCTCATGATCACAGTGCACCGTGTGCGACACATGGTCACACAGAGCATGTGGCTTTAAAAAGTAACTAACGTATGTGCTCATTGTCAGGATTAAGTTGGAGATGACAGTTGTAGTTTTTGTATTAGGTTGTTGTTATTTTTGCATTTGGTTTTGAAATGTTTAATCACTTATATAAGGTTTGATTTTTCTACTGGGTTGTGGGAAGTTCCTGGTTAATGTTGTCTTACATCTTTACAACACAAACCACTGTCCTTTACTGTCTTATCTTTGATTCACGTTCAGTTCTGCATCTTTTCAGGGATTTTCTTTCCAGTTGATCTTTACTGTTTGATTAATAATTGTTCTTTAATGTTTAATTAAACAAAGGCACAATAAAGCTACATTTTGTGATTGAGTCCTTGGATGTTTCCACTGTTTTAGGTTAGACTTATTTTATCTGAGCAATTCCCACATGCTTTCAGAGTACATGAATTCACTATATGGCAAGAGGAGAGATTCAGAGGAAGGACTAGTGACATGGGATTTTCAGCATCAAGTTTTCAATAACACGAACTGTTTTAATGCAATTATATAGTATAACATCCAACTTTACACAGGTTGAATGATCTAACAAACCACATTTCATAGTGATATACTGTATATCAGATGAACTAGCCAACGTCAAAACGTATGTAACATGTAAAGAAAAGACTTAAAGTAAAAGTATCTCAAATTTGTACTTAATTACAGTACTTGAGTTAAAGCACTGCATTACATTCCACCACTGGTGACACATTGACACAAAGACATATGCAAAGCACCCGGTAGATTCAAATGACTATAATTAGGATTATGACCAAATAATATATATATATTACCGCCCCCCCCACAGACACACGGGCATGGGCCTGCAATCTACAAGTGCATGACCATAAAGTAGATTTTTTGGAGGATGTGGTGGCATATTAGAGGTTTTGAGAGTGTTGCCTGTTGAAGAATGCTCTTTATTATTATTTATGTGGTGCATCACTTGACTGTATTCTTTAAATATGTGTTAGTGTTAGGCAACATGGGCCAAGTGAGTGTCCTGCCGTGGGGGTATGCGATGTTGGCATGTCCGTGGCGAGAGGACCATTGTCTCATAATCTGCCTATAGGTAAAATAAGGTCTACACTAGCCCAGATCCCAAATGATGAATGTGTTTAGGAAAAACATCAATACCTTGAAGGTTTTTACCAAACATATAAGCAAAAAATCTAAAAACTTGAGTTCATCCAGGCTGGAGTCTCAAATGGTCTCAGAAACTACACCTGAAAGAGGCTGGCACCAAACAGAGGTGAGAATTAAACTTTGTCCTAGAACAAACTAACTAACTAACACTAACTTGTCCTCATCTACAGGTAGAAGATAAATTATTCATGAGATAAAACAAAACTAATGTGGACACATATGAGACAAGATGGACACTTTTTCTCTTCCTCTATGCGTCAGCATTGTACAGCTCAACTCTACTCTATTCACTTTTGGGTCCTCGACTTCCTTTTCCACTGTAGATAGAACTTTGGATGGGACCCCCTCAATGTAGGCAGAGGTGATTGTCAGAGCAATGAAGTTGGGAAACAAGCTTTACTTTGGTCTTGAGAAGCTGCAGCCTTTCTTTATTGACAGACTCTAAGCTACACTGTACATTTACTGCCACACTGACAACACACTACGCACATAAACAGCTACGCTACTCATAACAGAGGATATGAAGCTATGTTCTGGACAAGTCTGGACTTTGTCAGTTGACCACAGCATGGTGTTGTGGGCTGCCATTTTTGAGTGAATAAAAAAACTTAACTATTAATGATAGTTTGGCTTTTTAAAAATCTAGGCTTTATGCAGGATGTCAACTGTCATGTGACTAATCAGTGGTTGGCAGTAATGTCACACCACCTTTTAGTATCAGATCAGCTAGCTCGGAACCTTGACCAAGGTGTACCAGGTCCACAATAACAATCAAAGAACAGTAAATAGGTGAGATATCATGATCAAGAAGGTGGTTCAAACCCAGGGTGAAGCTCAGCCATTGCTTCGGTTGTGCTGACCCCTGTGAGTTCTGTATTCACCTGGGGGATGTCAAAGTCTGTTTCTAAATTTAGTCTCCTTCTTTCTTCTTTTCTTTTTTTGCATAATTTTAGGCTGCCGAAAATGTTAGAAGCAAAAAAATATTTCACTACAATGAAATAAAAGAAACAACTAAAGGAGGTAATTAACTGACTGAGTGAAATAGCAGTTCATTTAACAGTGGTTGCTGGAATGTTTCTGTGTGTGTGTGTGTGTGTGTGTGTGTGTGTGTGTGTGTGTGTGTGGCAGGAAGAGAAGAGGTAAAAGTGAGCTGGCTGCCTTGTTCCTCGTGGTAAGAGCTCAGAACTTTGACCCACATTAGCTGATTTTAAAGCTTTTTTTACAGTATGCTTTATAAATATATATGTACTTACTTCCACACTGGTTAGTAGCAAGCTTCTGAAAAACCGATCCTAAGTCATTTGTTGTTCTATGATACCCCATTGATATAAACTAATATTGTGGTATATGCAATGATCTTACACTTGTTTGCATTAATTCTTTTTTTTCAGTGGCAAAACTTGGGAAGACACCTGGGAGCCTGCCAGCAACTTTATAGGCTCCATTTAATGTTTTAGTTTGTGTGTCTTTAAGACACCTGTATGTTGAATGTTGTTCTCTCTCTGTCTCTCTCTCTCTCTCTCTCTCTGTCTCTCTCTCTCTCTCTCTCTCTCTCTCTCTCTCTCTCTGTCTCTCTCTGTCTCTCTCTCTCTCTCTCTCTGTGCATGAATAAAAATAAAGATTTGTTCATTTTTTTTATTTCAGTTCAGTTTGTTTGCCTTTTTCATTACATTTTGAATGTTTCTTTCACACACTCATCCACATCTCCTTTAGTTTTTAATATGCAAGTCATATATACAATGTTATATCATAAGCAATGAAAAAAATATACATAGGGATGTGTAAAAACATCAGTACAGAATCAATGGAACAGGAGTATATGCAGTCAGTGTTTGAGTGAAGAAGATTAATAAATATGTCCATGAATATTTGTTCATGTATGAACAGTGTTGTTACTGTCCGTGATGTGCCATGTTAATTAAACTTAAATTATATTTATATTTAACATATTAATATTTCATATTTAATTATATTTAACGACACTGGCAGTGGCTAAAGTAAACCAATGTGACACACAGACAGGAAATGACTAAAACTGCTCTGTCGTCCAATGGTTTGTATATTTGAATGTTTTTTCAATAATGATTTTAAGAAGAAATCTACAACAAACGCAGAGGAATAAAAATGAAACGCATTCATGATTGTGCTTATAAAATCCTGCGATTTGATGAATAAAATATGCATTGATCTAAACAGATATTATATATAGGAAACACTGAGCAATATGTTTTTACAGTACCTCAAATATGGTCAAATATGCAATCTCTGGAGGCATAAATATGAGGCTTTTATTTTGGCATTTCTCCACACTGGTGCAGTAAAGATACTTGATATAAAGTGTTTTTTTATTCATCAGGGGCGCATGAAACACTTTAATGTAACATATTTTAATTATAGCTTACGGCTCTAAATACCTTTATTTTGAAAACCGGAAGTAAATACGCTGTTTCTCCGCATTTACCATAATGCTGAGAATACTTGTACACTCTAAATTTAAGTGCGGCTGATTTGACCACGGAGATCGGACTCACGGCTGGATTGACCGCAGTCTACTAGCCTACTGTTTCTTCTCCACAGCACCGTCCTGTAAATGACAACATCCGGTCTCAGAATATGAAACAACAGGACTTTTTTCTGTTTCTGTTCTCTAGTGATTTTATTTTTTGTTATATGAAATAGAAAATGAAAATCGAATATTTTTTTTATTTCGCTCATCCCCCTTTGACCATGAAAAAGAAAAACGCCTTGTATTTCAATTTTAATTTTTGTATTTTAAAACGAAAATCAAATAACCACTCGTTTTCTGTTTTTTATTACCCCTTTCTGAAAGGAAAATCCAATGACCAAAACATACACGGACCGACCTTCCACAAACTGGTCGCTGGTCTTTAAGTTAAAATAGAAACAAAATAGAAACAAAAAGCTGATTTCAAACTAAATAACAACAAAAAGAAAATAAAAACAATCAGAATAATAAAACCAGGTAGAAAATTTCAGATAATAAAACAGAAATAGAATTAAACAACAAAATAAAACAGGAAAATACAAGATACAAAGAAAAGGCACAAATTCTTGATTTCAGATCAATTGGCTAAATATTTCCTTAATACCAGAACATTTGATTATATTTAATAATATGTGTCTGTTCCTGCAGTGTTGGAATAATGAGGAGCAGGTTTCAGTTTAACAGGTTCAATTCAGAGACTTTTCTCTTTAAGAAATAAACATCATGAATATAATCATCCTCTTTATCTCTAACTGCTCTGTTACACTGTCACTCTGACCTTCACTGGTAATATCTTCACTGGGACTTTATCCCCAGTGTAAATTAATGGAAACATCCTCTCAGTGAAAGTGTGTGTGAAGGTGTGTATGTGTGTGTTAGTATCAGGATCAGAGAACGACAGCTTTCCTCTGTTCCAGTCCAGATTCACTCTGATCCTCTGGACCTTCTTCTGAACTACAAGATCAGTTGATGAAGCTGATGGTGACCGTGCTGAGTATTTACCTTCATAGAACCCTATTCTCCAGAATCCAGACAGTATGTCTGCCTTCCTCTGGGCAGACTCTGCTAACACACCCAGTAACCAGAATGTACTGTCTCCAACCTCGACATCCCAGCTGTGAGTCCCTGAGTTAAAGCCCTCTGAGCCCAGAACAGAGCAGTACTGATCAATCCTCTCTGGATTATCAGGAAGCTGCTGTTCCTCTCCCTCGTCTCACACTGGTCAGATCTTCAGACAGGATGAGTTTTGGATTAGCAGTGTTTGGATCCAGAATCACAGGACTGTAGGAGACCATGTCCTTCATCTTGTTCCAGATGTTGAAGGTCAGGTTGCCCAGGTGTTTGGCCTCGTCTATCAGAGCTCCTGAGGGCAGCTGTGGATCCTCCAGCAGGGGCGCTGCTGGACTCTTTCCACTGCAGCCTTGTAGTTGTTCAGGAATGAGACGTCTTCAGCTCTCAGCTCCTCCTCTGTGGCTCTGACTGTGTCTGAAAGAGCTGCTATCTCTCTGCTCAGAGCCTCCATCTTCTTCTTCATCATCTGACTCTTCTGCTCCTCTTCCTCCCTCAGTGCAGCCAGCCTGACCTCCTCTTCCTCTTCTAGAAACTGGTGAAGCTTCTTAAACTGCTCCTTAATCTTCCTCTCTGTGCGTTGGGCCTGGACCTTCATGTGTTCTGCTGTTTGATCAAACTTCACTTTAACTCCTTCACAAACCTTTAACTTCTCCTTTAAGGGCTCCAGAGTTTCCTCAAGTTCCTTCTTGTGTCGTCGAGCAGCTTCATCGATGGGTCTGAATCTGTGGTTGGAGTGTTTTTCTGAATCTCTGCAGACGAGACACACTGGCTGCTGATGGTCCAGACAGAAGAGTTTGAGTTTCTCAGAGTGCAGACTGCAGAGAGCCTCTGAAGATCTCTGATCTCTCTCCTGTAAGAAACTCTCACACAGGTTCTTTAAAGTCAGATTACAGGGTGGTTCAGCCTTTGAAGATCTTCTCTTACAATTTGGACACTCACGTGTCTGTTTCTCTGTCCACCAGCTCTTCAGACAGTCTTTACAGAAGCTGTGGCTGCATGACAGAACAACAGGATCTCTAAAGACATCATGACAGACCGGACAGCAGAAATCCTCCTCTAATCTGGAAGCCATTTTGTCTCTGAGTGCAGCTGGAAACAGGAAACAGCACGTTAAACATGAACTCAGGTGTGTTTCCTCACCCTGCTGTAAAATGTTGCATCAGTTACTTTCACTTTGAGTCTTTGAGTGTTTATTTCAGTCAGCAGCAGGTTGAACTACTTCAGTTTACTTCAGTACTTCATCCTGTAGCTGTTGTCCCTCAGTTAAAGTCACAGATTTGTAATGAAGGTAAATCTTACCGTCTGTCTCTCCGTCTGTGTGTCTCTCCTCAGTGACAACTGAACAGGAACAACCTGTTTCCTGGTTGGTCTCAGGTGATGTCATTAAGGGGCAGAGCTTTGTCAGCTGACTGCTCTGAGATCAGTCACAAAGAAAAAACGACCACAAAAAATTCATTCTCACTGATATTTCTGTTTTACTTTGTTTTAAATTATCTTAAAGAAAAATATTAGAAAATACAAAACAATCAGTCCATTCATATATAGTCCAGTTATATTTCACTAATATATTTTGGAAGTTCTAGTAAGATTATTTACTGGTTTTATACAAATTAAATTAATTTTCAGTTATTTTTTTTTTTTCATTATTTTTGGTTGCTGATCTTCATTTCAAAATAATAAAAATTAATTTAAAATGACACAGTATCGATTTAAAAACAAACAAAAGACTTTCAAACAAAAAGAAAATAAAAACAATAAAAAACAATAAGTGACAGAAAAAGAAACTTGTCAAACATGTTTTGCATTAGAATCAGATTTTAAGAAAATATTTCTAACTGTGTCTTAATAAGATCTTACAGCTAATATTGAGTTTGATTTAACCAGTAACAACAATGGTTGCATAATATCCCAGCAGAGGAAACAGATTATTGTCCTTATTTTCAGAGTAAGAGCACCCGCACAACTTCTCAGTTTAATAAAAAGTCGTCTGGTCCCAGTGTTGGAAATGAAGCAGCTGTTTAATTTTTAAACAGAAAGTTTTACACATACAAACATCACTGTGTATTTATCAACCACAACAACTAATGTAGATTAACGGGCTGTATGAGTGGAGATGTGACCGTCTTTTACACATTTCACAGCAACAAAGAAGATTAGTGAGCAAAGATGGAGGATTTAATATTTACTATTAATGTTCCAGAACTCTGATTTAATCAAATTATTGTTGACAACAACAAACAAACAGTTCTGACTCAGATTGTTTGTTTTTCTAGTAAAGTTCATCAAAAAACATTCATAAAACATAAAGTCTATCAATCGCTTTGCATAAGAATTCAAAATTAATTATTATTATTATGGGCCGATAATTGATCGGCTATAATTTAATAATCCAGATTGGTAATAATATAAATTTCCCACCATCAGCCGATAATTGATCTGCTCTGATGATTATCGTGCATCCCTAATTTCCTGTCTATTTCCAGTTTTTCAAGGTTTTCCAGGACGTTTGAACCCTGTTTTCCTTTTGTTTATGTGACTAGATTTCTTGTATCATAGGTGTTGTTGCAACCATTTATTTCCCACTGGGAATAAATAAACCTATAAATAAACATATCTTCTTGTTGTTGCTGTAGAAAATAAACAATAACAAGTCTTTAAAGTCGGTTAATATTTTGTATATTGTCACTGTGATCGGTCTGTTTGCCCCAAAGTTGAACAGAGAATCAGATCTTTACTCTCTAAAAGCTCCGTGTTAAAAGTTTAAACAAAGCCTGAAAACTGCAGCGCTCAGAGGGAGCATCAAAAAGGACCCAGTCGCAGACGGCAGAGCGGGCTCCATCCTTTCCCACAGATCTGAATCAGGGGTTGAATCTTTGGCACACAAAAGAACGTTTTCAGGATTGTTTTTTTAATCTTCCATCAAAAATTACCTTAAAATTTACAGTAACTTACTGGCAACAATTAACCAGCAAGTTACTGTAAATATGTTTTACAGTAGACATAATGTACTTCCATTTACAGTGTTGGTGTATTTACTGTAAAATAAATACCAATTAAATACTGTGATTTCAGTTGTTTTTACAGTGCTGGTTTATTTACTGTACAAATAAAAACAGTTAAGCACTGTTATTTTTTTAAATGGTATTGTAAATGGCAATACTGTACTATTAACAGTGGGTAACAGTTGATCATTGTAAATTCAGTTACTCACTGTACAATTTAAATACTGTATCACTTTGATTTACTATTATCCAACATTAATAGAATGACCCATATTCTAAAATATTTCAATTAACTACAGAAAACAAGAAAATTGTTAACACAATTATTTATTTAAGACATTTGGTGAACAGGAACATGATAAAGCACAGGTTACCAAACTTTCCAGACCAAGTACCACTTCAGAACCAACACAACAATGAAAGAGACACCTCTACTTTGTCTGACTACTGCAACTACCCAGGCACGCCTGAAACATTAGAAACAAGAAATCAAAAATAAAAAAGCTAGTTACGTCAGCCGAGCTTCACAATTATACATTTACTTTAAAATACTGAACATTTGCATGAACAATGCATCAGGACACTGTAAAGTCCTCTCATTCCCCTCACACTTGAAATAAAAGTCTATGGCCTCTTGCTTGCCCTGAACTTGGAGACCCAGATCCCAGTTGGAGCCCTGAAATTAAAGAAGAAAACACAAACAATTACATTTATTACAATCACTTTGTAATGCACCACGTATGTGATGAGGGTCTAAGATGGTGATATCGTGTCAAGGTACTTATTCCTGATAGAAAGTGTATCAAATATCCAAAGATGACAGTGCTGCATTCAGTTTAAGGTAGCCGACATTTTGATTCAAGATGCAGTTGAGTTTAGCAATGTGTTAAAATGCTTAAGAGATGTTGAATTAACTGTGATTAACATGTTTTTGATTGATCATGAATTACAGCATGTTTGATTTTTCCTGCTGAAGTCGACTCAAGAGCCTTCATCAGTGGACCATAGTCTCCATCAGCATTCAATCACTGACACAACAGTAGCTTAACACACATTATTTAATAAAATATCTGAGAGAACATCTTTGAATAAACCATCTTGAACTTTCAATGCAAAAGCTATCATCAGAACCTCACCTGCATCTAGTCAGTTTGCCAATCGAACTCAGTGAAGTCCCTGATGAAGGAGATTGGGGGTTCCTGTATGAAGTCTTCTGCTTCACCACTCTCCCAGTCTTCCGGCTCATCTGCTCCTTGGCACTGCACTTGGTGGAGTCCGGATTAATCCTGACTAAAAACCTATGAAAATGAGTACAGGAGTTAAGGGTGGGACAATATGTACATGTTAACGAGTAACCGGTTACAAATCATAACTGTATGCAGAGAAAAACAAAACAAACTTTTTTAAATAGATCAAAATAAAGAAAATACAGTATCTTGGACATGCATTAACTTATTTCTCAGAATTCTGTTTTCCTTTTACTGATTAGAGGTGATAATACTGTCTGAAAAACACTTGTTACTCCAAGTGTTGACACAAGCGCAGTTATGTTACAAGTAATACATGTATGGGGCATAATGTCACATTAATTAAACAATGCCAGTGGGAATAAAGTTAAGTATATATATTTATCAGGCACACGCAATGCATGTAGTAGGATCAGCAGTGCTTACTACTCAGTCATAAATACTCTCCAGGAGCGAGCAGACATGGAGCTTTGTTGCGGAGTCAGAACCGCAAACTTGCTGCGTTGTTCGCGGTTAGTCCGGTTTTGCAATGACGTGACTGGCCCATTAGAAGCACGACCGTTGGCCTCTCTTGATCCTCATTGGATAAATTGAAAGTGAAGCGGGAAAAAACTTTGATGCAAAATAAAAGTCCCATAATAAGTCAATTTAACCCTTCGATAAGCCCCGCCCCCCTTAGTTACTGTTGCTATGTCAGAGCCCGTCTACGGATCCTTATTAGACATTCTTTGGAAATATAAAGTTTTCAGTGATATCAATAAGAGATATTCCAAAGGAAATTACAACAAATGTCTGGAAAAACTGTTAGAGAGATATGATGAGATGAGATAAGAAGACATATATAAGATATAAAGGGTCAAACTTATGATAAAAAAAAACATTAGATCAAAATTATGAGTTAATCATTGTTTTTATTATGATATACTTTTTTAAAAATCTAATATACACAATAAAGGAAAAATACAGTAGTTTACTATTTATAGTACTATACTGTCTATTGTGATTTTCTACAGTAACACTTAAACTACTGTGATTATGTCATGTGGACAAAATTTTATTGTAAAATTTACAGTATTCTACTGTAAAAATCATACACAGTAATGTTACTGTGTTTACTGCAGTAAATAACTGTAGATTTCACAGCCATTTTTTACAGATGACAAAAAAGAAATAGAATTAAATAACAAAATAAAACAGAAAAATACAAGATATAAAGAAAAGGAAATAGAATTAGGTTTTTATTGTTGTTCCAGTGTTGGAAATGAAGCAGCTGTTTAGTTTTTCATTGTTTTAATAGAAAATGATGAAAATAAGAATGTTTCTGGTTCCTTCATTTAAGACAAAGTCACTATTTTTATTATGTTTGAAGGAATTGTGTCTTACTGTAAATATTTCCTCAATATCTGAACATTTGATTATATTTAATAATATGTGTCTGTTCCTGCAGTGTTGGAATAATGAGGAGCAGGTTTCAGTTTAACAGGTTCAATTCAGAGACTTTTATCTTTAAGAAATAAACATCATGAATATAATCATCCTCTTTATCTCTAACTGCTCTGTTCCACTGTCACACTGACCTTCACAGGTAATATCTTCAGTGGGACTTTATCCCAAGTGTTAATTAATGGAAACAACCTCTCAGTGAAAGTGTGTGTGAAGGTGTGTATGTGTGTGTTAGTATCAGGATCAGAGAACGACAGCTTTCCTCTGTTCCAGTCCAGATTCACTCTGATCCTCTGGAGCTTCTTCTGAAATACAAGACCAGTTGATGGAGCTGGTGGTGACCATGCTGAGTATTTACCTTTATAGAACCATATTACCCAGAATCCAGACAGTATGAGTCCCTTCCTCTGGACAGACTCTGCTGACACACCCACTCTCCAGTCTGTACTGTCTCCAACCTCGACATCCCAGCTGTGAGTCCCTGAGTTAAAGCCCTCTGAGCCCAGAACAGAGCAGAACCGATCAAACCTCTCTGGATTATCAGGAAGCTGCTGTTTCTCTCCTACTCTCACACTGGTCAGATCTTCAGACAGGATGAGTTTTGGATGAGCAGTGTTTGGATCCAGAATCACAGGACTGTAGGAGACCATGTCCTTCATCTTGTTCCAGATGTTGAAGGTCAGGTTGCCCAGGTGTTTGGCCTCGTCTATCAGAGCTCCTGAGGGCAGCTGTGGATCCTCCAGCAGGGGGCGCTGCTGGACTCTTTCCACTGCAGCCTTGTAGTTGTTCAGGAATGAGACGTCTTCAGCTCTCAGCTCCTCCTCTGTGGCTCTGACTGTGTCTGAAAGAGCTGCTATCTCTCTGCTCAGAGCCTCCATCTTCTCCTTCATCATCTGACTCTTCTGCTCCTCTTCCTCCCTCAGTGCAGCCAGCCTGGCCTCCTCTTCCTCTTCTAGAAACTGGTGAAGCTTCTTAAACTGCTCCTTAATCTTCCTCTCTGTGCGTCGGGCCTGGACCTTCATGTGTTCTGCTGTTTGATCAAACTTCACTTTAACTCCTTCACAAACCTTTAACTTCTCCTTTAAGGGCTCCAGAGTTTCCTCAAGTTCCTTCTTGTGTTGTCGTGCAACTTCATCGATGGGTCTGAATCTGTGGTTGGAGTGTTTTTCTGAATCTCTGCAGATGTGACACACTGGCTGCTGATGGTCCAGACAGAAGAGTTTGAGTTTCTCAGAGTGCAGACTGCAGAGTTCATAATTGTATTTTGTGGCTCTCCTACAATAGGTTTAGATGTTTTAATGTTCAAAAAACACATTATTTTTCTCATACTGCCTACAGCTGAGCACCTCTTTTCAGCCTCTGTCTGAATCGATCGGTTTCAGCTCCTGTCTCTTTAAGACCCCCCTCCCGAAAAGCCCAGTCTGCTCTGATTGGTCAGCATTATGACACGGATGACTCTCCGGCCCCTCCCCTTCGTTGCCGGCAGGTAGCTCCTCACTGTTACTGAGATTATCTGCATTTCTACCGTCAATATTAATTCAATAACTGCTTCTAAAGCAAAAACTTCACCAGCAGACATGTTAGAGCGGGAGTCTGACCTGAAATCACAGAGAAATGAACAACAACAACAATCAGGATTACAGCTTTCTGTGACGTTTTCCTCAGGTAAATACTGATATATTAACTACATATACATACATATAACTAATATATATATATATATATATATATATATATATATACATATATATATATATATTAACCTCTACCTATCACATAATGTTAGTGTTTACACCTTAACTATGAGAACCAACACTGTGTTTTATGTCTTTCCAGGTACAGCAGTGAGCAGTGACCTACAGTCTACACAGCCCAGTGAAGTTAAACATATTATATATTACATAATATTAACAACATTAGTCAAGCAGTTGTTTCTAGTGAAGAAACAGCCAGTAAATGTACCAAAGTAATCAGAGTATGGCTCCGGAATAACAACGCTAGCGCTAGCTCAGCGAGCTAACAGCTGATGAGCAGCTACAGTTTGTTCACTCGGAGGTTTTCTGCTCTTTCTAACAGCGACACAAACATATTACTGACTGAGCACTTTAACTAAATACAGACCAACATAAAGCCAGTTACCCCCGACACAAAACCCACAACAGTTACAGAGTTACAGAGTTACAGAGCCCCCTCCTCCAGCACGAAGCTCGCTGATTCTCTGTATAAACTTATAATAAACTTTGTGTGAATCTCTATAAAAATATCAGCAGGGGAGAATATGGAGACATCTGCACCAGCTGGTTAATACATTAACTTCACCTTATAAGTTTCATGTTCATCTTTTAACATTTAACAAACAATAACAAACAATAACAAACATTTAACAAACAATAACAAACATTTAACAAACATTTAACAAACAATAACAAACAATAACAAACATTTAACAAACAATAACAAACAATAACAAACATTTAACAAACATTTAACAAACAATAACAAACATTTAACAAACAATAACAAACATTTAACAAACATTTAACAAACAATAACAAACAATAACAAACATTTAACAAACAATAACAAACAATAACAAACATTTGACAAACAATAACAAACATTTAACAAACAATAACAAACATTTAACAAACAATAACAAACAATAACAAACAATAACTACATTAGCATCACTGAGGCTCCTGCAGCTAACAGCGGTTAGCATGTGCTAGCGTTACACGAACAATGAAAAACAAAGTATAAACTCTTAAAAACACTTCCAGTGACTTCCTCTGCCGTCTCTCCACAGACAGTTGGTACAATCCCTCTTTCAGGAACAGTCTTTCAGTCAGTCCACTGTTGTACTGACCGAGGTTGTTCACACACACCTTCCAGTTTTTCTGACTCTAGTCGGACATTGTCGTAAAAAAAATATTTACACACATTTACATACATTTACATATGTAAATTTGTGTTGGGCTGTGCAGCCAATGACTGAACAGTTTGTCTGCTGAGGCCTTTGCCCAGACATCAGACTGCAGGCTGCAGGCTGGACTTGCTTGTTCTCAGCTAGCTTGCCTTTTATACTCGCAATGGCGGAGCTCCGATAGTCAACAGGAAGTAAAGAGAGGTGGGTGGCAACAGGCAGAGCATGTGACGTCACAAACTACACACTTCTGAACCTGCGTGATTTCTCTCCTATATTCTGACTGAGGCAGCCCACAAAAACATGACTGAGTCATTTTTTTTCATACTTTGCTGCTGATAGGCCCTCCAGAGTCCCAAATGTACATAATAACATGATTAAAAAGTTGGTTTTGCATAATATGTCCCCTTTAATGTATCTTGACTCTACCTTACAATCTGATTGGCTGCTACATGTGAATGAAAGGAGGGAACAATCAATATTTATATAATAATGTCATGAAAATGAAACTACAACACCTGAACGTCAACAGTGGCAGCACGAGACAAACATGGCCAGCAAACTTCTTCATCCTCGTAAGTATATTTACAATAATACTCGAAATGTGGCTACGAGATAAATCAACTTTTAATGGAAAAATACCTGAGTGGAGAATGTATTGATTTTCAATGCCGAGCTGATCAGTGTTAACTGTGACACTTTCATTCATAGTAACATTATTTATTGTACAGCTTCAACTGTGTTTTTATGTATTTTTGAATGCTATTTGCTAAAAAATGCTAAACTTAATCAACATTTTCAACTAAGGTGTTTAAATATACATGACAGAAATTAGTTATCTGTCTTAATGGACTCTCCTCAGAGAGGAATCTAATCCAGCTAGTCTCTGACAGGCGTGGTACTTTCTGTCTCTTGTACATTGGACGCCAAATGTTTGTGTATAATGGCTGTTAATTAATCTAAAACCGGGGTTCCACAACCTTTCCATGCCAAGACGCTCAAATAGCATGAGGTTACGGTCGGTTCCCCCTTCTGGAAGCTCAAAAACACACAGATAATACTACTTCCTTACTTTTATTAATGCAATAATTATCACATTTCTGTTTAAAATCTTTAATCATTAAATTAGATTTGACATGACACGTTTTAACAGCTTTGACTCAGACGTTACCAGGTCCACACTGACAGTTTACTGTATAAGATAAATAATGTTTTGACTGGCAGGAAATCAGGGAGATAGGTATGGACAGTAAGATTTGAATATATATTATTATATTAATGTAATACACATAATGATAGGGACAGTAAGGGGATTAGGGATACATTTTTTTTTCTTTTTTAGCATTTTCCCTCAAATTATTCGTGTTTCAGTGTAAAGAGAAGTAATAACGGCCTCATTACTATATTTCAACAGAATATCAGCAGTGCAAAGACCAAGAGCTCCAGATTGTGATAGTTGGGAAGACTGGAGTCGGTAAGAGTTCGACAGGAAACACCATCCTGATGAAAACGGCTTTTCAGACTCGGATACAGCCATCCTCGGTGACACAGGCCTGCAAGAAGGAAAAAGGAGAGTTGGATGGACAGAAGCTGGCTGTTGTTGATACTCCTGGTCTGTTTGGAGGAACAAAATCTGACATCAAGGTGATGGAGGAGATCAAGAAGACCGTGCTGTCGGCTTTAGATGGCCCCGTTGTGTTCCTGGTTGTGCTCGAGTTGGGCGAACTGACGGAGGACGAACGGAAAACAGTGAAATTATTACAGAAGACCTTCAGCAGAGAGGCAGCACATCACACCATGGCCTTGTTCACTCGAGGAGATGATCTGAAGGAACAAGGAGGTTCCATAGAGGACTTCATCGGAGCAAACCCAGCTCTGCGTGACTTCGTCAGGGAATGTCGGGGGGATACCATGTTTTTGAGAACATAGACGGAGATCCCTCTCAAGTTGTTGAGCTGCTGCAGAAGATCAACAGCATAGTGCGGAGAAATGGAGAAAGCTACAATCTAAAAACACCAGCAACAGAAGAAGCAGAAAGAAGACCTGGATTCATCAAGGTCTGCCTTCAAGGTGCTTTTACTGGAGCGTGCACTTTAGTCACATTATGTTTTATCATTGACGCAAGAAATATTCCAAAGGAAGTTGTAGTGGTGGGCGGTGTAATTGGGGGGTGTGGTTGGTGCAGCTGTTGGTGCAGTACAGTATGTGGGTAGCTGATCACAGAGTGAACACAACACATTAACTGTGGTACAACCAGTTTATAAACTCAGTCAGGGGGCGCAGCACAAAACTCTGGACTCCTTGTGGTCCCTCGTCTTTCAGTTCTTCAACCAAATGAGGTCTGGTTCCTGAACTGGTTCTGTTCAAGATCTTTGGAACTATTATAATGAACGATATTAATGCACAACAACCTGTAGAATACGACACGCAGTATCGTAAGTAGTAAGTATCCTAAGTACCCTGGTACAGAAATCTGTTCATGAGACCCTCAAAGAGCCGTCAACAACCAGAGCATTAACTATAACAGTAACTATAAATACGACAGCGGTGAACAATATCGTTGGGATCATTCCCATCTGATTGCAAATTACACAAAAAACTATTTTATCTGAAACATACTGACAGACGACCTTTTTTGTGTTAAGCAGCTGCAGGTAGAGGCCACTGTTTACACACTGTTACAGTAGTTCTTGTTCCTGCTGTGGACGGCCCTTTAAAGTCCCTCTTGTAATGTTTGACCTTCATTCAGATATGAACTTTGTACAGTTTGTCTCCACTATAAAAACTTATTATTCCCTCTATACCACATCATCTTATCTTTATATAAATGTTTATATATATATAAACAATAATAATATATACATATATGATAGCGTCAGTACTTTAGGTTGATCCACCCACACCTAACTTTAAAGTACTTTGCAATTTACTTTTTAGTCCACTACATTCATTTGACAGCTGTAGTTATTTCCTTTGAAGTGTTGAACTCAACCGGATAGACAATGATAACATCTTGTTATTGCACCAGTAATAATCACATATTATGTATAATCCTATATTTCAAGGACATTAGATGATAATTCAGTACTTTTACTGAATATTTCTATAGGATGGCATCACTCCATTGTTCTTTAAAACCCCCATTTATTTCTACTGAGTACTTTAACTTCTCAGGTAACAGGTGATGTTGGATTCAGGGGAGGTAACAACCAGCAGGAATATAATAAAGTCATGAAAACTAAACTATATTATATATTGTTTAAAAGTTAATTGTACCAATGAAGTTACATTCATATGCAGCATTTCTCGGGTCAGGGTCGGCAGTATATACTTAGCTCAGATCGGCACATTTCTTGTTTGTTTGGTTCTTCCATATCGACTCCTCGGTTTGGACGAACAAGTGAAATTCAATCACAAATAAAAATCATTGATATAAAGTCTGTAAAGTTGAATGATGAATAAATATGGACTTTTATTATTGAATTTCTCCAAATTGGTACAATAAAAATGCTTGATATTAAGTATGTTTGTAGTCTCATATGTGCAGAAGTCAAATATACCATCAGTAGCCAGGAAACACTGAGCAATATGTTTTTACAGTACCTCAAATATAGTCAAATATGCAATCTCTGGAGGCATAAATATGAGGCTTTTATTTTGGCATTTCTCCACACTGGTGCAGTAAAGATACTTGATATAAAGTGTTTTTTTATTCATCAGGGGCGCATGAAACACTTTAATGTAACATATTTTAATTATAGCTTACGGCTCTAAATACCTTTATTTTGAAAACCGGAAGTAAATACGCTGTTTTCCGCATTTACCATAATGCTGAGAATACTTGTACCCTCTAAATTTAAGTGCGGCTGTTTTGACCACGGAGATCGGACTCACGGCTGGATTGACCGCAGTCTACTAGCCTACTGTTTCTTCTCCACAGCACCGTCCTGTAAATGACAACATCCGGTCTCAGAATATGAACATTTGCATATTTTCATATATTTGAGGTACTGTAAAAACATATTGCTCAGTGTTTCCTGGCTACTGATGGTATATTTGACTTCTACACATCTAAGACTACAAACATACTTAATATCAAGCATTTTTACTGTACAAATTTGGAGAAATTGAAGAATAAAAGTCCCATATTTATACTTCCAGATTCCATATTTTCTTATATTTGAGCTACTGTAAAAACATATTGCTCAATATTTCCAGGCTATGGGTGAAGCATTTTCATTATACTTCAATAATGCTGCAGTAATCATGACAAAATTTCACACAAATGTTTAATAACATCTTGATAATATAAACACTAAACACTAAACACAAAATCCTACACAATTCTAATTTGTTTACTTTTCACACAAAATGCAATGCCAGTCCACATTCTTCTTATTTTGCTGCTCTGCTGTGTCCATTTGTAGGTAAAAGGGAAAAATAATTAGTTTTAACTTCAAAACACCATTGTACCTACTGTCTCTTCCTCACATATTATTTTTTATATTATTCAGTGTGACAGCTGTTGCAGGTGGTTCCACATACAGTTTACATTTTTACAGTAGCTCAAATATAAGAAAATATGGAATCTGGAAGTATAAATATGGGACTTTTATTCTTCAATTTCTCCACATTGGTGCAGTAGAAATGCTTGATATTAAGTATACTTGTAGTCTTAGATGTGTAGAAGTCAAATATACCATCCATAGCCAGGAATTATTGAGCAAAGTGTTTTTACAGTAGCTCAAATACATGAAAATATGCCACATGGAGGTACAAATATGGGACTTTTATTGTTGAATTTCTCCAAATTGGTACAATAAAAATGCTTGATATTAAGTATGTTTGTAGTCTCATATGTGTAAAAGTCAAATATACCATCAGTAGCCAGGAAACACTGAGCAATATGTTTTTACCTCAAATATGGTCAAATATGCAATCTCTGGAGGCATCAATATGAGACTTTTATTTTGGCATTTCTCCACACTGGTGCAGTAAAGATACTTGATATAAAGTGTTTTTTATTCATCAGGGGCGCATGAAACACTTTAACGTAACATATTTTAATTATAGCTTACGGCTCTAAATACCTTTATTTTGAAAACCGGAAGTAAATACGCTGTTTCTCCGCATTTACCATAATGCTGAGAATACTTGTACACTCTAAATTTAAGTGCGGCTGATTTGACCACGGAGATCGGACTCACGGCTGGATTGACCGCAGTCTACTAGCCTACTGTTTCTTCTACACAGCACCGTCCTGTTAATGACAACATCCGGTCTCAGAATATGAAACAACAGGCCTTTTTTACGTTTCTGTTTTCTAGTGATTTTATTTTTTGTTATATGAAATAGAAAATGAAAATCGAATCATTTTTAAAATTTCGCTCATCCCTTTCTGACCATGAAAAAGAAAAACGCCTTGTATTTCAATTTTAATTTTTGTATTTTAAAACGAAAATCAAATAACCACTCGTTTTCTGTTTTTTAATACCCGTTTCTGAAAGGAAAATCCAATGACCAAAACATACACGGACCTTCCACAAACTGGTCGCTGGTCTTTAAGTTAAAATAATGAAAAATGAATTTAAAATGACACAGTATTGATTAAAAGAAAACCAAACACAAAGATCAGAAACTAAATGAAACAATTTTACATCTGAAAAATTCTCATTTAAGACTTTGTCTTAAATGTCTCCTTCATTTAAGACAAAGTCACTATTGTTATTGTGTTTGAAGGAATTGTGTCTTATTGTAAGATTTGTTTTGCTAATTAGGGCACACATTCTTGAATTCAGCTCAATTGCCTAATAATTTGCTCAATACCTGAACATTTGATTATATTTAATAATATGTGTCTGTTCCTGCAGTGCTGGAATAATGAGGAGCAGGTTTCAGTTTAACAGGTTCAATTCAGAGACTTTTCTCTTTAAGAAATAAACATCATGAATATAATCATCCTCTTTATCTCTAACTGCTCTGTTCCACTGTCACACTGACCTTCACTGGTAATAACTTCAGTGGGACTTTATCCCCAGTCATAATGTATGGAAACATCCTCTCAGTGAAAGTGTGTGTGAAGGTGTGTATGTGTGTGTTAGTATCAGGATCAGAGAACGACAGCTTTCCTCTGTTCCAGTCCAGATTCACTCTGATCCTCTGGACCTTCTTCTGAACTACAAGATCAGTTGATGGAGCTGGTGGTGACCATGCTGAGTATTTACCTCCATACAACCGTATTACCCATAATCCAAACAGTTTCTTTCTTTTCCTCTGGACATACTCTGCTGACACACCCACAAACCAGAATGTACTGTCTCCAACCTCGACATCCCAGCTGTGAGTCCCTGAGTTAAAGCCCTCAGAGCCCAGAACAGAGCAGAACCGATCAAACCTCTCTGGATTATCAGGAAGCTGCTGTTCCTCTCCTCGTCTCACACTGGTCAGATCTTCAGACAGGATGAGTTTTGGACCAGCAGTGTTTGGATCCAGAATCACAGGACTGTAGGAGACCATGTCCTTCATCTTGTTCCAGATGTTGAAGGTCAGGTTGCCCAGGTGTTTGGCCTCGTCTATCAGAGCTCCTGAGGGCAGCTGTGGATCCTCCAGCAGGGGGCGCTGCTGGACTCTTTCCACTGCAGCCTTGTAGTTGTTCAGGAATGAGACGTCTTCAGCTCTCAGCTCCTCCTCTGTGGCTCTGACTGTGTCTGAAAGAGCTGCTATCTCTCTGCTCAGAGCCTCCATCTTCTCCTTCATCATCTGACTCTTCTGCTCCTCTTCCTTCCTCAGTGCAGCCAGCCTGGCCTCCTCTTCCTCTTCTAGAAACTGGTGAAGCTTCTTAAACTGCTCCTTAATCTTCCTCTCTGTGCGTCGGGCCTGGACCTTCATGTGTTCTGCTGTTTGATCAAACTTCACTTTAACTCCTTCACAAACCTTTAACTTCTTCTTTAAGGGCTCCAGAGTTTCCTCAAGTTCCTTCTTGTGTTGTCGAGCAGCTTCATCGATGGGTCTGAATCTGTGGTTGGAGTGTTTTTCTGAATCTCTGCAGACGACACACACTGGCTGCTGATGATCCAGACAGAAGAGTTTGAGTTTCTCAGAGTGCAGACTGCAGAGAGCCTCTGAAGATC